ATTTTCCTTCCAGCACTTCTCAGTCACTGGAAGTAGAAAGCACGATATGCAAAACAGAAGAGATGAGATGGAAACCAAGATGCTCTCTTCTACTTGTGCTTCTCTGTGTGTCCAGCACACTTTTAGTACTTTCTCCTTCCGGCACGCTTATAGTACTTTATCCACGCACTGGCCATAGCTCTTCTGCTTTTCAATGCAACTCCCTCAGCTTTTTGCACTGTTCAAGGCTGATTTCTCAAGCATTTTGCAGGACACCACACGTCTTGGCCCTCAAGTTACTTCCATTCCATTCAAATCAGGTCTCCACTTCCTCTGATCATTGCATATTGTTTGCATCGGACGTGCCAACTCGTTGCACTGAGGTTGGAGAGAGCGGTTTGCACTAACAGAAGGATTCTCACTGCATTTTGAATTCCCTGCACAAATGGTATATTGGGATCCTTGATTTTTGCCCTTTAGCCTGACTAAACACCCCTTATGAATTGTTCTGTATGGAGAGGCGCTGTCACGAAACGTGCTGGGTTGTCTCCTGGGAACTGAGTGGGCTCGGACTACGTGCACAAGCGTCGGTGCTTCTGGCACACACTAAGGGGCATTCCCACGGGTTTGTAACTAAAGCGGCGCAACTGGGTGAAGGCTCTGAGCAGGTGGTTTATGCATCTTCCCAATCAGTTAACAAATATATATTATTTACAGATAAAGCGTGGTATTCTTCAACTAGCTAGCTAGACGGCCCAGGCATAACTTCAATGCTACCAGCTATATAGCACCCACAGCTTGCTCTTTCCTCTTATACTTGGGTAAACATTCATTTCCAAATACTTTCTTTTTGTTCTTTGATCAGTGATCCCATGTCTCTGACCCTACCGAAGGGATTCTGATTTGCTCACGATGACATTTATTTGACAAACAATAAATTCACCCAAAAAACCAGCATTTTGGACTAAATTTGGTGAAGTGAACGAAAGCAGATGCTATCCCTGTCTGGTTATAAGGTGCATATCCACTCTGCCTGCATTTTGGACTGAAACCACTACAATTAGACTGAAATTTGTGAATAGTTTTGGCTGGAAAGAAAGCAAGGAGAACGTCTTTAAAATGTCAACATCAAATGCTTGGTCCTTTGTGAAACAAAATGCTTTGATTTGGAAATGGCAAACACTTTCGTTGGGAGCAAAACTCTCTGATTCTTTGTTTTTTATTATTATTATTATTTTTTGGCATTTCAAAGCAGCAGTGAAACAGATCTAAATTTAGAGTTAGAAAACCTGGTTAAAATAACCCCAACTCAACAGAAACAAATTGGTTGCAAGTAAAGTGAAACATTGTGGGTTTATCATAATGATTTTCTTTTGGTTGACTTTTTTCCCTTTTTCTCAAAAGAAATATTAAAATTCCATGTCAGTTAGACCAAAGACATTTTTTCCCCCCATTTCAGCCACTGAACCAGAAAAAGGCCACCCTTTGCTCTGCTCTACCACTAAAGCAGCACGTCAAGTAGGATGCTGAGGGCTAGCTGGGCACCTCTGCATAGTACAAAATGTACAGGATTTGGTTTATGTTCCTGTTTATGTAGCTGTTGCTGTTGGTGTAAGGCCTAATTGTTGTCTGGCCACATAATAATATCCCGTGTCAAGTCACTGAGGCTTATGTGCTGATTTGAGACTCAGGCTGCCTGCTCAGGAGTGGTAGCCAAGCCATGTCCTCCAAACTTCATAGAGGGAATCAGACACCGCAGTCCTTTGTCAAGCTTTTGATGGGGATTTCCAGGTCCCTGCTTTTAAACTCTCATTGAATCTCTCTTTAATGGTTTCTAATTTTTGCTGCTCAATCTGCAGGCTGCACACGTGAAACAGCGAGCAGAAACTCTGGGAACATCAAACAAGGGGTTGACGTCCACCCTGCTCCATCCCATGTATCAATGCACGGCTGTTTAATGGTGACATTCATAAGAGCAGGAGTTACCTTGATTATTCACATGCAACACTGGCCACTTCCCTGAAAATTTGCAATCCGAAATCGGGGTGGGGGTTTTACACGAGGCATGGTATCCAGGTTGTGGCCGTATTGGTCTAGAGGCAAAAGGAATCAGGACTCGTGAGAGAGGTGATATCCTTTATAGAGCAACCTGATTTTTGCAACAACAAAAAAATTCTTTAAAGAATGAAAATTAATTTTTTTTAATTAAAAATTAAAGAATTTTTGTTGCAAAGATCTAGTGGATCTAATAAAAGATACCACTTTTACCATGAGTTCTGGTTCTTAAGTGAAGACTGTGATTCTTAATGGAAAAACCTTTTGCTCTTCATTCTGTCTTGTCCAAATCAGATACATGGCTTATTTGGGGGACTTACAATTTGTGAATAAATCCATTCGTTCCAAGACTCCCATCTTTTAAATTCAGACCTGTCTGTAAACCCCAGTGCCTGCCTGGAGCTACGTCCACTTCACCCTTGTGCATGCACTTGCCACAATCCTCGAGCTATCCTCTGAATCTCATGGGATGTAAAATTGGGAAAAAAGGAAAATGGGCCGTCGTTTCATTGAGAATGAAAGAAAGACTGAAGAAGGGAGTTTTGTGGAACCAAATAATAGCACAGCACTATTGTGGACACGCATTTCTGCCTCGCTCATCACTTAAGTGCGGGGGTCCTGGTCGCTGCGTGCTGATTTTACATAGCAGGTCCATCGCTTTTGGAAGCTGCTCCTCATTGCAGGGCAAAACCGCTTTGTTAAATGATCCTATTCTGTACATATCTTAGGACTGTGTGGCCTTTCCGGTGACAGTGTTTTCAAGGGTGCCACTGGGGAATTGAAAGTGGGTAGATAAATGAAGAAGAGCACTTCAGCTAGATAAAAATGGGGGCCCAGATCTACATTTTCAGGAAGATGCAATAGATGTGACCTGCCTCGGTTTTCGGTTGCTCTCTCCAAGACACTCTGGAGGCTGATTTTCAGAGATGCTGAGAAGTTAAAGTCACTAGGACCCACAGTTTGAGGGTAACTAAAAAACAAAAGGTACCCAAAACCAATGGTCCCTTTTGAGAATTTGGGCTCAAACAGCTCCATAGTCTTTTTTATTTTATTTTATTTTATTTTATTTTATTTTTGCTTCTAGGCAATTCAGCCACCAGGTCTTGAGCTTCCAAACTCAATGGCCAGAAATAGCCTTGTTTTTGCAGAATAAAACTAGAACTGACCCAGTTCAAAAGCTAGCATGGAAATGATTATGTTGTTACCACAAGACTGTCACAGTCAAGCCCCTAGTTAGGATACCACGGATGCTACAATGCCCAGCCTTCAGACTGCAGATCACTGCAAAATCTGCTGCCGAAGGATAGCCTCTGACACGGTGATGCCGATGGGTATTGACAGCGTGTTGGCAAATGTGAACCCGGTATTAATCCAGCTGCCGTTACTTCTGTGTAGCTGTCTATTTTTCTTGCTAATTGATTTCAGGACATCCCTTCCCAAGTTATAAAGCAGCTGCTAGGGTTTGCTGCACAGAAGTAAGCGCTGGGCATTCGATCGTGATAAGCTGTGCTTTTAATTCATTAAGCCAACAGTAACCCCACAAAGCAGGCATTAATATCCCCATTTCCCAGATGGGCAAACTGTGAGGCACAGTGTCATTAATCAACTTGACCGAGGTTTCCCAGGGGCAGAGAAGGGCTTTAAAGATCCCAAGAGTCCTGAAGGAAGATTGGATAGGAAAAATTGCTCTTAGTTTCTTGGTACAAAGACACAAAACACATGGCATAAATGGCTGGTGTGCAGATGCAAGGTTGAGTCCTGCCAGTGCTTCATGCCTTGAACTCCTGCCAAAATCAAACAGGTGTGTAAGGGAAATGCAGGACATTTCAGCTAATCTTTAGTGATAGAGAAGTTTGGGTTGGCGGTGGATCATGGTCACAGCTGACCCCTGCAAAGAGTTAGGGAGAGATTCCCAGAGTCCTGGTTCCCTGAAAAGGGAAGTGATTATTACCCAGCATTTCCTACCACCCTGTCCAAAGCCACCAGCACACCAAAGACTCTGTCCACAGTTAAAGTTAACCCCAACCAGACTAAATATGAGAGACTAAGAATGGGGAAGACAGGCCTTAGTACAAAAGGTTTCCAAATGAGAGAAATGTCCCTAAATCATGCAAACCTCCCGGGGGAGGGGGAGTGAAGACAGAAAAATGGCATCTCAGGAGCATCCTCTCCTCCTCTGCCCATCCCAGCGCACTGGAGAATGAACATAACAACACAAGAGTTGCCATTTCCTAGGTCAGATCATAGGTCCACCTCGCCCGGTCTCCTGTTGCACAGGGGCAGGGAGTGGGTGCTGAAAGGGAGAGTGAACTGGGTATGAACAGGGCATTTTCCACATTTCCTCTCTCACTTGCAGACTCTTGCATTTCAGATCAATGAAGGGCTTGGTCTCACTTTCCCTGCACCGCACACAGCCCTTCCCTGCAGCAGTCACTGCTTATGTACTAGGAATCCAAGCCTTCCCCTCCCTTTAGCTTCCCACAGGTGGGAGGGAAGGCAATGAATTGCCCGGCTCTTTCCAAGGGACTGTCCATCTTTTAAGGAACAGATCCAAGCCCAAGAGAGAAGCTGCCAAACCATTTTGACTTGAGTGGCAATCGCACCATCCTAAACCCCTCCGGTTGCCAGCAGCCACCTGGCAAATTTCCCAAACCCACCTTCATTAACCAGCCACCCCTCTAGAAACCTCCGATTGTGTGACCCAGGTGCTCAACTCACATAGGCATTTGCAAAATCCTACTAGATGCACCTAAATACCTGTGGCCACCCATGTTAAGAGACCATCTCTTCGAGAGGTTCGGCATAGTTCTCTTGCAGTCGACAGAGTTAGGCTAATCGACTAGCAGACGAGCTTGCCCTAATCGTTTTGTTCACGACGCGGGTCCTAGAGCTACTTTTCAGACAGGTACAACCTGAGCCTAAGCAAGAGCAGCAATATTTAAAGATGGGCCCATGGAGGCACTTACCTCGGTCTGTTCCTTGGGCGGGTTATAGCATAGCCCTTTAAATTCTAGCAGTCATCCAGAGTTGAGAAATCCTTTGCCGGGTGTGTACTTAAGCACATAAGCTCTTCTGGATATGTTTTAATCCTTAAAGCACAGAGAGAGAGAGAAGAAACCCAAATTCTTGGCTGTGTCAGTTGACTGCTGTTAGTGGTTTCCTGTCGACAACAGCTGAATGACAAATCGGACGGGGTTGTTACACTTATAGCAATTAGGGGCTGGTAGAAGAGCCACGCCGCTCGGTTAGAGCTAATGTTAGATCAGCAGCCACCTCAGCAGAGCTGTTACCCGCACGGGCTCCAGAGGCTAAAAAAGAAAGTGCCCACGTGTAGACGGTGCCCAGCTGCCCTCTGCCTAGCGCTGGCAGGAGATGAAAGGCGCTCTGTTGCAAAACAAGAACGCACATGAAAAGACAATCAGGTCTGGGGGGTTTGTTTTTTCCATCCTGGCCCCATTTGTGACTCTACACCCGATCCCACAAGTACATGCTCTCTGGCCAGCAGGAGGGACCGAGGTATTTATAGTGGAAATTTAGCATTTGAGGTGGTTTCTCTCTGGCCAGTGTAAAAAAAACTAGACATCCTGCCTAACTCAATACCTCCCCCACCTCCCTCCCTATTCATCTAGGTTATGCTGAATTTCTTTCTCAGTTTCCATCTGAGGCTGTGGTACAGTTTGACTGATGCACAGTTTGAAATAGCTTTCCTGTTCCTCCCCAGACCTGGCTGCATTTCAGCAGCGAGTCAAGAACGGGGATGAAAGTGGGGCAGTTGGGGAGATGGGGAAGAAGGGAGCAAGTGAGAGTAATGAGCCTGAGACAAACCTCTGAGAAAGATAAAAACAACCTTTTTCTGGGCTTTTTTTTTTTTTAAAGCTCAGACTCCCCAAAACCAGGATTTCTAAATAAAAACTTGGCGTGTTTGGTTTCCCACATGAGACAAGTTGATTTTTAAAGCACTCCCTTTTATGTTTAGCTGAAGCTGGTTTCTAGATTCACTGCGACGCCTTTCAGCTGATTCAAAATAGCATTTTGAGTGTGGGGGGAAATTTTCTAAAAGCTTTCTCCCAACCCGAGTCAGGAGGGCTGAGAAAAGGAGGCGAGCCTGAGACGGACATCAAGACAGCCCGGGCAGTCGGGGTAACTGTCCTTTGGGTCCCACAACATCCTTCCTGCGCGCTTCTTTGTCTTCTGGTGGTAGACCATTGCAATGTGCTATTTCGAGGTTCCCAAGCAATGCAGGTTACGGCAGCCCATCCGCTTTCACGTGATGGCCCAAATGAGCCTCTTGTGCTTGCATTCGCCAGGCTTTTCTGTCCGTTTGCAGCAGCACAAACTATATGAGACCTATATGGGCGCTTGTCCACGTGACACCTCTGCTGGTAGCACTTCTGTGTCCACGCGGCAAAAATCACCATTAAGCTAGCTAAACAGCATCTGCGTGTCCATGTTGTCAGCTGACCTTATCGTTTTCGATTCGTTTTTTATCGCGGTAATTTAAAACTCCTCCAACATGTTTTCTTTTTACCTCCTGAATTTCTTTCACGAGGGTTATTATTAGCGCTTTGAATTTGTAATGTGGATCTGCTTTACACCCAAAAACATGATTTTCCCCTGCTTTGCAGCTATTGCACCACCCGGCGCTGCTTGGGTTCGCTTGTAAATCCACAGAAATCCAGGGAAGTTCAGCTAATTTCTCCTGCACTGATTTTTCCGGGTGGCAGGTGCTAATCTTGCAAAATTTTACCGATTATTTTATTGCTTAAATTAGATTAATGAAAAATGAGATTATTTTATTGCTTAAATTAGATTCATGAAAAATGAGATTTCCAAAAATACATGTTCCGTCTTTTTTTATGCACCGAGTTTCTGGCTGTCCTCAGCCTCTTTCCATTGAGGCAACATGAGTATGAAGAAGAGGTCCTGGTTTCTTTGTACCATACCTCGAAGTTCATGGAGGTCTCCTTGCTCTTTGGAGTTGGATATATAGGGCCTGGTAAGCGTTGGGCACTTAGCTCCCTGGTTTTCTTGACAAGTTAAAGTTGGCTGGCGAGGACGGGAGGGCTGATATTTAAAGAGCAAGCTCGTCTATTCAGAAAGAAAGGGAGCTAGTTAAGGGACTGCCTGGGCAAGCGGCCAGGAAAGGAGCAGCGCAAGTAAGGAAATTATTAGCTTCCTTGCAAATTCTGAGAAAAAAAATGTTGTTTTGGAGGAAGGTAAAACAATGAAACTATGAAGCAAAGATGGAAATGTTTCGTTTTTTCCCATCAAATCCAAAAGGCAGGGAAACAATGAAATGGTGAACATTTGATTGTCTCTCTTTAAAAAATAAATACATACATTTGAAGGGGTTTTCCCAATTTAAAAGATCTCTTCCAATCAATGGGAAAATTAAAATGCTCGGCTTTGAATTTTTTAAAATGTATTGTATTCTTCCCATTTTTTTGGAACAAACAACTTGGCGAAATGCAAAAAAAAGATTTAAAAAAAAAATCCTTGTTTCCAAATGTATGTTCTTCATGGAAAAGGTTTCAGTTGAAAAATAATGCCTAGCTCCCATTATGGCTTTGAGCTCTGTTCCCCTTCTAGCTCCGCCTGGGCTAGGGCTATATGAATGGGAGGGAGCCACTTTGGGTAATATTGGTACAGCTCCTGGGAGACCGCATCCTGGGATGGAGATCGAAAAAACGGCCTCTTCCTAGAGCCTATATGAATAACAGCGGTGGGTGTGATGGTAGGGATGGGATTGATGGGGAAGGGGAGAGGCAGGGAAGGAAGGTTTGGGTCCCGCTGTGGGTCACCACACACTTTTCAGTGTCAGATGATTTGAACAGGGAGAGAAAATACCTGCAGCTTCAAGGACTAGCAGGGAAAGGCAAAGCAAAAGCCAATGGCTGGATGCTGAAGCCAGATAAATTCCAACTACGAATACAGAGGTGTAGGTTGTTTCTTAAAAAAAATACAGTTTTCCAACTATTTAAGTTGGTCTAATAAAAGGTATCGGATTCAACCAAAGCACCTTGTCTTACTAGGGATACGGCATGAATGTGAACAGCTTGGCGGATGGACAAATCACAAGGGGAAGTGATAGGCTCTGAATCACATCATGACTATGGGCCCATCGTTAAGATTTAATTTGGCCAGACTACGGCTGTTGGACTTGCTGAGGGAAGACGGGACATCTTCTAGTGAACAGGTCAGACCAGATGATTGCCTGGCCTTGAATCGGTTGAAAGGGATCCCTACATACTGGGATGCTGGTGGGTGTGGAGCATCCCAGTACGTAGGGATGCTCCACGCCATGCCCATTGGTGTGGAGAATCATAGACTCATAGAAAAGTAGGGCTGGAAGGGGCCTCAGGAGGTCACCCAGTCCAGTGTTTCTCAACCCAGGGATTACGACCCAAAAGTGGGTCGCCAGAATATATGAAAGCATGGCGAACAAACTTTCAAAAAGTGCCGACCAACTTTAAAAACGGCTTCTCCTTTAAAGGAGACAACCATGGGGAACTGTGGCTTTTCCTGCCCCACACTCCCTCCCCACTCCCTATCTTACACACCCTCCCCCTGCCCCACACACTGGGGGCAGCGGGTCAGGAATGAGAGGCACTGGGTTGGGACTGGCAATTGATGTTTGCAAATGGGTCCTGTTACCAAAAAGGTTGATCTAGTCCAACCCCCTGCCTGAGGCATCCTCTACAAGTTCTTGTCTAATCTATTCCTAAAGGTACACAGTCAACCCTGCTGCACAGCTGGAAGGCATATTGCCCAAAGACACCAAAAGCACCCTAACCTGCCATAGGTAAAGCAGGGACACGAGGACTGTCAGTGATCTGCTATTGCAAGGGTTGTTCAAATGCACTTGGGGATGCAAGAAGGAGGGAGGGCTAGCTCCCCCACACCTCCCCCCCAACCACTGCTGCCTTGTAGCAGGTAAGAGACCATCAGCAGGGCATGTAGGTCCCAGGGAAGTTATGACTGGCCCCTCTCCAGAGCTGCAAAGGAAAGGAGAATCCTCTCCCTTGAGCACCCTCCCTTACACTAGCCTCTATCACTGTGCCATTTGACTGCATTATCATCTCAGTAGAAACTGCTATAATTGCCCATTGAGGGCGGTCATCTTAAATGGTCATCTGAGAGGTGCTTATCTACGTAACTGGCTCTGTGGTGCAATGGACAGCACGTTGGACTTCTATAGTAAAGTGCCATTCAAAGGTTGTGGGTTCAAATCCCACCAGAGTCAAAGCATTTTTCCTGGAAGACTGTTTCAGGCTCAGCGTTAGGAAAAATGACTTTGCAGCTAGGGTGTCCAGACTGTGAAATAAGCTCCCTCCAGAAGTGGTGCAATCACCTACCCTGGCAATCTTCAAGAGGAGACTGGACAGTCCCCTGGTCAGGGTCACCTGAGCCCAGATGTCTTCCTGCCTGGTGCAGGGGGCTGGACCTGATGATCTTCTGAGGTCCCTTCCAGTCTATGAATCGTATCCCTATTGCTTTACCCCTGTGCAGCATCCTGGAGGACCTGAGGCATGCTAACATCACAGTGAACTGTCTTGAATGGGACACCCCAAGCATACTGCTCCCACTCCCTCCTACTGACAGGCTCCACACCCAGAGATACACCAGTAAGTCCAATACAGGGCATCTCTTTGGCCCTCTTGAGACCTCGTGCTTGAGAAAGGCTGCTGGGCATGATTCAGAAGAGGCCTCATGGACACACTTCTAGCCCTGGAGGGTGCAAGCATGGGGTTGGGGTATGCTCGGGACCATCCCAACCTGGAAACAGTCTGCCACGGTGGTGTAGACATGCTCCAGGGGCCAGATCCTTCCTCCATTCCACCCTGTTCAAGTCCCTGGAAGTCCATGAATGCAATTCCCTTTGTAATAAGCTGTCATCTGACTCTTAAACTGAGTCACAGAAAAGCAGCGAGGAGAAGGAGGACCTGCCTGGCTTTAGCATTAGCAGTTCTTCAGGGGCTTGAGTAAGATGAAACAGAATTGCACGTGGGCACCTAAGTCCACTTCCACACCTAATAGGATTGTTGATAAGAAGGTATTTAGCAGAACGTGCAGACTCACTGGAGTCTGACAGGGGCCACGGCCTGAACGCTTCTGGTATGGCCATTATAGCAGTTGGAAATGAGACCCAGTCCTAAACAACAGCTGTCGTGAAATAATGGGATGTCTAAAGTCAACGCCAAAAGATAGGCTGTACTTGCTGCGTGGCATTGCACCACCT